AAAAATCTTTGTTTCTTAATTTTAAGAATAATGATATGGTCGATTTATTAAAAGAAAAAACTGTAGTTAATCCATATGCTGAAGAACCACCAATGTCACCATTACTTAGTGAAGAAAATCAACAAATGAATTGTAGTCCAGAGTATGTTATTATTATTATTATTTTTGTATCTCATTGTTCTTTTTTTTTTAGAGTTATGCGATGTAGTTTAAATATTATTCCACAAACAAAAGATATACTTAATAAAAGTCGACTTCCTCTTGGTATTCTTATTCATCCATTTAAAGATCTTGAAGTAAATTTTTTTTTTGTATGAAAAGAAAAAGAAAATTCCATTTTTTTTTTGTTTCTCTAGAGTTTAAGTGTTATTCAAGGTACAAAAATTGTACGATGTGATTCATGTAAAAGTTATATTAATCCATTTATTACATTTCTTGATAATACACGATGGCGTTGTAGTATTTGTTCTCGTGTTAATGATTGTAAGTTATATTTCATTGAATACATTCTTTTAACAAAAAAACAAAAAAAATCGATATTGAGATTTGTTTAAAAGTGAATTTAATTGATTTTTGTTTTTAGTACCACAAGAATTTCTATTTGATCCAATAACAAAAACTTATGGTGATCCAAGTCGACGACCTGAAGTTCGTTTTGGTACTGTTGAATATACAGCAACAGCTGATTATATGGCAAGACCACCTCAACCAGCTATGTATTTATTTTTACTTGATGTATCACATAATGCTATACAAACAGGTAAATACAAAAAAGAAAATATTTTTGATTTAATAATTATTTATATTGTTTTTGAGGTTATCTTTCATCATTTTGTGATATATTATTAGAAAATTTAAATGGTTTACCAGGTGATGCTCGTACAAAAATTGGTTTTTTAACATATGATAGTCGAATACATTATTATGATTTATCTGATAGACATAATGGTACATTTCGTATTATGATTGTATCGGATCTTGATAATAAACCCGAAGATTTTCTTCCTATGCCTGATGGTTTAATGGTAACATTATGTGAATGTCGTTCAATAGTTGAAATATTTCTTAATGAATTACCTAAAATTTATCAAAATAATAATGAAACAGATTCAGCATTAGGTTCAGCTTTACAAATAGCAGGAAAATTACTTGATCAAACAGGTGGTCGTATAACAGTTATACAAACAAGAATACCAAATATAAATCCTGGAGCTTTAAATGAATTTATTAATACAGGAGGACAAATAACAAAAGAACCAATAACAATTGTACCAACATCAGATTTTTATAAAAAACTTTCACTTGATTTTGCATCCGTACAAATAGCTTGTGATTTATTTCTTTTAAATAGTCATTATATTGATTTAGCAACATTGAGTATGTTACTTTTTTTTTTCTTGAATTCAAGGCTCTCGATTGTTTTTGAGAATGGGAGGGGGGGCTACAGTTTTTTTTTCTTTTGCCAAAAACTTGGCAGACAGTCACTTATTTTTTTAGGAACTTTCCGATTTTTCATTAAAAGTGATGACCGGGAGGGGGGGCTAGCCCACATCGAGAGCCCTGCTAGAATTAAATTTTTATTATAAGAAGAATATATTTGTTTTGTTTATTCTTAAGGTGGTATTGCAAAATATTCAGGTGGTGAAATAAAATATTATCCAGGTTATCATTCAATTCAAAAACCACATGAAGTTGAACGTTTTGAAAATGATTTCAGACGATATTTACAAAGAAAAATTGGTTTTGAAGCTGTTATGCGTTTACGATCACCACCAGGTTAAACAATAAAAAAGTTAAATTTATATATAAATAATAATTTCTATTTATTTATATATTTTAGCATTAACAATTCATACATTTCATGGAAATGGTTTTGTTCGTTCAGTTGATTTACTTGTTTTACCAAATATAAATCCTGATGCTGCATTTGGCATGCAAGTTAATATCGAAGATTCATTAATTCATTATACATCTGTTACATTTCAAGCAGCACTTTTATATACATCAAGCAAAGGTTAAAATTAAAGAAATAAATCATATGAATAAAACGTTTTTTTTATTATATACTAGGTGAAAGACGTATTCGAGTACATACACTTTCATTACCAGTAAGTTCAAATTTAACTGAAATATGTTCAAATGCTGATCAAGAAGCTATTGTTTCATTAGTTGCTAAAATGGGTAAAAAATAAATAAATATTGATTATTATCTTGAAAAAAAATATGACTTTTTGTAGCTGCTGATCGATCAATAACATCATCAATACAAGAAGCACGTGATGCTATGTCAAATGTTGCATGTGATATTCTTAAAGCATGTTTATCAAATAATTTATCTAATCGTGCATTTTCATTATTGGTACCATATTCATTACGTCTTATACCATTATATATGTTAAGTATGATTAAATCGGTAAGATTAATAAAATAAAAAAAAGTTTTTTTTTTTTTTTATTGAATATTTATATATGTAGACGGCATTTCGAGCTGGTAGTGCACCAAGACTTGATGATAGAGCATATTATTTAGATTTATGTAAAACATTACCTACGCAGTATTTAATGCAAATATTATATCCTGATCTTTATCCAATACATACAATTGAAGATAAGGTAAATATATATATAATTATTTAATTTTTGATGTTTTATTTAATTTAATTTTTTTTTTGTAGAGTCAAATTATTCAAGATGGAGAAGATGAATTACATATTCCTCAACGTGTTCATTTATCATATCAAAATATTGATTCTCATGGTGCTTATATACTTGATACAAGTGAATATATTTATGTTTATATTGGTAAAGCTATAAGTGATCATTTTGTTCAAAATGTTTTTAATCTTGGAACATTTTCTGCTTTACCATTGGATTCAGTAAATATTAAAAAACAAAATACGAGAAAATAAATTTTATGTTTATATATATATATTTTAGTATTCATTACCTGAATTAGAAAATCCATTATCAATGAAAATACATAATTTTCTTTCATATCTTATTCAAAGTCGACCACATGGTATTGCATTACATATTATGAGGTATAGATTTATTTTTATTAGTAAATAAATTTTTACTTAGGGTAAACCAAAAGTTCGTAGAACCTTGTCGGATAAGGTAACCTACTCAGAAATGAAAAACTAAATATACCATGTTGTAGAGCTTTTTGAGGTGCGTCGAATGGTATATATTAAATCCTGTTTTGCATAAGACTTTGAAGGAACTAGAGTCAATTTACTGATACATGACTATACACCCATACCCACATTGACAAGATGACCGGAGATGCTACATATATGAGGTTGTAGCCCGTTAAAAACTCTGCAAAATCATATGTGAGAAAAAATATTTTACAAATACTTGCAACTAATATCAAGGACTACAATATTCAGTAACTTATGCTTGAGTGTGAGTGTGTAGTCGTCTATCAGTAAATTGACTCTAGTTTCTTCAAAGGCTTATGAAAACAAGATTTATTATATACCATTCAACGCATCTCAAAAAGCTCTACAACATGGTATATTTTGTTTTTCATTTCTGAATAGATTACCTTATCCGACAAGGTTCTACGAACTTTTGGTTTGCCCTAAGTATATGTATATACATATATATATATTATTTATAGAGAAGATTCATCTAATCGACATTTATTTACACGTCATCTAGTTGATGATAAATCTGAATCAACAATGTCTTATGTAGAATTTCTACGTTATATTCGCGAACAGATTGTTAAATGAACAATAATGTGTTTGTTATTTATTATAATTCATTATTATTATTATTATTATCATTCTTCTTTCATCCTATCCGTTTAGTCGGTCGTTTTATTTTCTTTCTTTACACAATTGTTGTTCTTTAACATGTATGTTAATGATGAAATTTTACAAGACAAAAATATAGAATTTTTTTTCGTTTTTGTTTTTGCATGTATTCATCAATATTAAACGAAAAAAAAAGAAAAGAAAAGCTAATGATATGAGTAAAGAGTTGCTTTATAAATTTTTTCTTTCACATTTTCAAATGATCAAGAAAATATTAATTATGTGGATTACTATGAAAAAAAAACAATGAGAAGAAATTAACGATAATCACGAAATGATCTTTCAATGATGATATCTAAATATCATAATAGTTGAGTATATGCCTGCTTTTCTAAGCAAAAATAAAGTTAATTATCCTATATACTAGAGTAATGATTTATAATAAAATATTTTTCAAGGTATTTTATCTTGATTATA